CCCCCCCCCCCACACACACACACACACACACATACATACCCACTCACGGCCACCCCGACACCTCACACACCAGTCAGCCAGCGTGCAATCCCCTCCCCTCACCACAAACAAAGTGGACAAAAAAACTACATCATCCAAAGCATTCATGTACACACCTCAGCTGGGCCATTCGGTCGATCTGTGTATATGTATGTGTGCACTCTCCTTCCCCCAGTGAGCAGTGGGTGAGGGTTCGCTTCGCTACCAACAAAGAGCAACCCAACCTGCACACGTGAGTAGCAGCATCCATACGTGTGTCTCCCTCCCTTTCTCCCCCGCCATAGGAAAAGAAAAAGGCCAATGGAAAGAAGCGCTGAAGCTGGCGGCAACATGAACCTGACCTGCAGGGCCCTGGTGTGTGGTGTGAGGCCCGCCAGCCCGGCAAAAAGACAAACAAACACGATCCGACGAGAGAGAGAGGTCTGTGTGTGCAAGTGTGTGTGTATATCGACATGACATTACTTACACGCTACGACATTGGGTGGCTTGGATGAGTGGGTGAGTGTGCGAGTGTCTCATGGAGTTTGTTGTACGAATCAAAAACCGACCGACCCGTACACGCATGCATTCACACACTACACGCAGGTGGGTGGGCGGGCGGGGAGAGTTCAGTCAGTGACATTGGCGTGTGGATGCAATGTAAAGCACATCACATCACATGGTGGGTGGTTGGTGTGCTGTGCTGTGCTGTGGCGGGTCTCTCCCCTTGCCGACCCCGTGCGTCTCTCTCCGGCTAGCAAGCAATATATGTACATTACACACATCAGGCCATGCATGGCTCAATCAATCAATCGACACATACACATACACATATATGCGGTTCGATCTATGGCGAGACGCCTTCGTGCCTTCCCTCCTCCGTTGCTACTTATTTAAGTAGATAAACGACCATTTGGGGGGCGGCACCCACCCAGCCAGCTCGCCCGCCCGCCTGGATGTCAGTGAGTCGGTCTTTGGTTACTTAGCTGGTCTGTACAACCACACAGCAGACAAACAAACACGGTACACAGACAGCACCCATCATCTATCTATATACATTGGCCGAATTGCACTCGGTAGGTACGGGTAGGTACGCTATCCATCCATCCATCCATCCATGGGTGTATGTATGTATGTGTTTGTGGATTATACGCAGCTAGCTGTCCGTCCACGCACCTAGTGAAACCGGCATCTATCGCACACACAACGCTCACATCGCACTGGGGGTGGGTGGGTGACCCACACCCACAACCACACACGCACCATTGGCATCAAGCAAGACACACATGTCATGTCACACGAAGGTCACTGAGGCACCACAGCCACCCGAACGAAGCCATCACCACCCCACGTATGTCCCGATACTATCCCGTCCGCCCCACTGAATGCACACACACACACACACGAAAGCCCCCTGTCTGTCCGTCCGTCCATCCATCGGTGGGTCTGTCACCCCGTTAGTCAGTCGAGGACCCTCATGTGGCTGCCGCCGCAAGCGAACATCTTGCCGAATGCGGTGGCGGCCCGCCGCCGCTTGTGGGTATAGATGACCACCGGCTCGGGGGCAGGTTCGGGGTACTCGGGGAAGGCCACCGGGCGTGGGCTGACGTGTGGATCTTTGCGTATGACGACCCTGTCCATCTCCTTCTGCAGCCACGGGGGGCTCGTCTCCATGGCGGGAGACCAGCGGAACTCGTGGCTGGCCATGCCGCCCTCCACTGTCGTGTCGCCCTCGTCCATGGTCGTCAGCCAGTCAGTCACGCCCTGCAGGAAATCAGACTGACGCGCCACACGCATCGTCGCACGCAGGTCAGGCGGCGTGTCGGTGTCAGACGCGGCAGACGCTGACGACGTCTCATCCATGTGGTCGATGAGCTGGGACCCAGAGGCCGCCTGATCTTGCGAGCCGGATGATTCGCTGCTCATGGACGGCCGCGGCCTGTTGATGCTGCCCTCCAGTGCCACCGAGCGTCGCTCGTCCGCCGGCCCCTCGTCCTGCAGGATAACGGCTGGGGGGGTGAGGGGGGTGAGGGGCTGTGCCGTCGACGAGAAGCAACATGACGAGACACTGAGCAGGCTGCTGCATGACTCGGGCAGGAGGAAGCGGGTGGGGGGTGTGCGCTGGGGCTCGGGGGGTGAGCGGGAGGGGGTCTGCTGGGGGGTGCCGGCCGCCTCGCTCGCTGTCTCTTCCTGCAATGCACAACACACACAGCACACACATCAACCAATGGGGAGTGCTGTGTCGTGTGGTGCTTACTTTGATGGTTGGAGGATTGTCCAACGTCGAGCGGTACTTCCGACCCTGAAAGAGTGGACGAGGGACACCACACAACACACACAGAGACAGTGACAACCGCAGCACATCACATCACTGTGTGTGTTCGCATGCCCACCTTAGAATCCATTCTGGATACCTCGCCTTTGACCTCACGCTGCCGGCACACACACACACACACAGACACACAACGGCATCCATCTGCCCGCCCGTGCTGCACTGCCTGCGATGTGGTGCTAACTGACCAGGAAAGCCGTTTGCCTGGGCTGTCTGCTCCAGAGTATGTTGAATGCCTCCTCGGCCCTCTCCCTGGGCGACACCTCAATGATCTCGTGGGCCTCGTCCCGCTCCCCCTCGAGCACGATATAGTCGACGGGAGCGCGCCTGGGCTGTGGCGGTAGCTGCTGTTGTGGTTTCTGTTGCGTGATTGGCGTGGCCTCGCGCGCGTCACTTGTTGTGTCAGGCACATCGCTGTCAAGGCTGCTGATAGGTGAGGGCGGCACACCGTTATGGGTCGTTAGCCAGGCGGCCAACTCGCTGGGGATACCTGGGTCGTCGGCTATCTCCTCCTCAAAGGCCGCACAGGGGGGAGGACTCTCACCTGAACCCTCCGACCGCGAACGGGGCGACGGCGGGCTCACCGGCGCCTCCAGCAAACTCAACGGCCGACGCAGACGCACACTCTCGTTGTTGGTGCAGCAAAACAGGCAGTCGGCACGCCGCCGCAATATGGTGCTGGCGGGCGGCGGTGGCGGCTCCTGCGACCTGTCGACATAGCGGTGCGAGCTGCCAAGATCCGCTATCTTGCCCTCACGTGGACCAGGGGCTGGGCTGGCAGGGGAGGAGGCGGGGGAGGGCTGCGGGGGCGCCTCCAGGGACGTCATTTCCTCCTTTCGCTCCACAACAGGAAAGGGAGAATGGCCTGTCCCATTATTTCCCCCCAGAACATTGTCCGTTCGTGTTGGACGTTTCCCCCCAGAACATTGTCACTATTTCGCCTGCCATTGTCAACGGCTGGGCCATCCTCGGTGTCACGACAGAGAGGGACCGAGGCCTGAAAACCTTGTCCGATAGCCACCTGACACCTGCTGCCCGCGGGCAGAGCGAGGAACTTCACTTTTCGGCCTGGCCAAATGGGGCCTTGCCTGCCGATGGCTGCCTGGCGGGCAATGGCGGCGCTGGGGATGCTGTCCGTCCTTATTATGCAGCCCTCTATCTGTAAAGGTGAGCTCGGCACCTTTACAAATCGCCACTGCTGCAGGGGCCGGTTCATTTGTTTGCTGTCGCATTGTCGTCTGTCCTTGGCACTCACTGCAGCGTCAGCCGCTCATAGGCAGCTAAGACAAGACGCAGAAGGTGAGTGACACCCAATATATCGCCCAGCCACACAACCAGTTCACGTCTGTGTGTTTGTCGGCCGCCTGTCGGTCTTGTGGTCAGGCGACTCTGTCGTATCCCCGAAGAGTCGAGAGGGCGCCCAAGGTAAGCCAGTCAGATGCACCACGCCGATACTTCTGATCTGTTGGTCCGTGTCAGAGTATTTGTCGCGTGCTGAGCAGTGTGCGGCTTTGGGTGGGCTGATGTCCGTGGACCTGGCCAACCAGTGGGCCTGCTGCCCAGCATTCTGCAAGACATGCGGTGGCGCCGACGGGTGCGACAAACTGCTCGGCGGCAAGGACGCCTGCTGCCCTGCTACCATCCAGGCAGCGAACCTCAAGTGCTCAGAGATCAAGGCCCCACCATGCGTCCTTGGTCGGTTAATCAACGACCACACACTGGAGCACCGATAGAGGACTCGATGATGGCTGGATGCCCTTGAATGTGTGTCGTCAGATGCTGGTGGTCGCATCCGTGGTCCCCGCAACCCTGACCCCCCTCCAATGGGCGTGTTGCCCGATCCTTTCAAAGAGATATCTGACGCCAAGGGGGGCCTGGAGGAATCAGGTACTGATCGACGCGACAGGCAAGCGACAAACAAGCCGCAATGGCCTGTTGTGTGGTCTGGTCTGTGGTGCAGACATCCCCCCGCCGACAGAGCTGTGGGGCGACTGCACGGAGACGCGCCTCTGCCAGCAGGGCAGTGTGTGCAGACTCGCCGCAGAGGGGGTCAGTCAGTCAGCCAGTCAGTGAAATGCAGCTAAGTACACTGATGGTGGCTGTCCTTTGGGTGTGCAGTGGGCCCAGTGTCGGCCTGAGCTGGAGATGTGCCCGCCTCCTGACGTCGAAGACGAGTTCGACTGCACCATCATCGGATCCAGCGGTACACACACACGCGTCCACACATCGCGGCGTGCCATGTATGGCTGTGTCGCCCGCCTCCTGCGGTGCAGTGCATCCGCCCCTCAAGGATTGCTACAAGTGGGGCTATCAGTACAGCGGCACTGTGTTGGAGACGAGGGAGACCACGGACAGCCCCTGGCAGTGCCAAACCCGCTGCCAAATGAAGGACAAATGCGTGGGCGTCAACTTCATCAGCGACCAGCAAGGGAAATGCATCCTGATGGCCAGCACCACCGGCACAGAGGCCAAGCCGGGCGTCGGCTGGCTGGCGGCCCCCAAGACATGCGGCTGGGACCGGCTGACGAACCCCGTCCAAAAGGACTTCGCCCTTGAGTTGTGGCTGAGCGACCTGATTGGCAACATGACCCTCGAGGAGAAGGCAGGCCAGATGATCATCGCGCCCATCTTTGGTGTGCCTGAGCCCGAGGTGACGCTCAAGAAGTACAGCCTAGGGGCCATGCTCTGGCCGCCGGGATTCTACCGCGAAGCAAAGATATGGCAGGTGGCCGCCGAGATGGACAACTTCTACGCGGCTGCTATGGACAAGGAATGGGTGAGCTGCGGCGGAGACACACACGCATAAATGTGTCCAGTGGATCACTGTTCGTCTGTGGTATCTGTGGTGCCCTTGTGCAGGCGTCAGGTATCCCCATTCCTCCCCTGATGGCCGCCGACGCTATCCACGGCCACAACAATGCCCCCCACTCGACCATCTTCCCACACAACATCGGCCTGGGCGCTGCTAATGACTCCGTCCTCATGGAGAAAATCGGACTGGTATGTCGGTGCGAAAAGCATAACTTAGACAAGTCGATCCTTCAATCGTGTGCACACTGTCATTCCTTCCTGGCGTGTGTTTGTGTGTGAGATAGGTGACTGCGACTGAGATGGTTGCGAGCGGCATCGACTGGACGCTGGCACCGACAGTGGCCACCGCACGCGACACCAGATGGGGCAGAATGTACGAGTCCTACTCAGGTACACACACGCACTCCTGGCACACAAGCGGTCGTTTTATTCCCGTCTTCTGCTGCAGAAGACGGATACACGGTCGAAAACATCGTGGGCGGGCTCCTGCGAGGCCTACAGGGAAACCCCGAGGACCCTGAGTCATTCCTGGCCGCCCCCCATGTGCTGGCGACGTGCAAGCACTGGCTGGGTGACGGGGGCAGCTGGGGTGGGCTGACGGACGGCGACACGGTTGCCGCCGAGACTGAGCTGCGTGACATCCACAGCAGGGGGTATCGGGCGTGCATCGAGAAGGGCGGTGTGCAGAGCGTGATGCCGTCCTTCACTGGCACCAACACCATCGAGATGCATGGCTACCCATTCCTCCTCACAGACGTCCTCAAGGTATGTGACACAACCTGACTGAAATGCACATGCACAAATACTTGTGTATGTGTGTGTCAGAACACGTACAACCTTGACGGTTTCCTTGTTGGCGACTGGAACGGGCACGCCAGGTCGGGCAACGACGAAAACGGCGAGAACCTCCCTGGATGCACCGTCGAGCACTGTCCCTTCGCCATCAATGCGGGTAGGTACCCAGCCAACACACCATCCATACCCATACACACCTGTGCATATCTATCCCCCCACCGACACCCACCCTCTTTCCTGTCTCAGGCATGGATATGCTGATGATCGGCGGAGATTGGATCAGCTTCATCAACAACACCGCCCGTGCGGTCGAGTCGGGCGAGATCCCACTCGAGAGGATGGATGACGCTGTCAGGCGCATCCTGAGGGCCAAAGCGCGGCTGGGTCTCATCGGTCCAGACCCCACAAAGGTCAAGGGCAAACCCAGCACCAGGAAGCCATACGCGGCGCGAGACGACCTCATGGCTTCCGACGAACACATGGAGGTAGGAGGTCCTGGGAGAGACCGATGTGTATCTATGTGTGTCTTCTGGCATCTGTCTCGTTGGTTGCGTCTAGGTTGCGCGTGAGGCGGTTCGCAAGAGCCTGGTGCTGTTGAAGAACAACCGGCATGTGTTGCCCCTGAAGCGGTCAGCCAACATATTCGTGACGTCGAGGCTCATTGACGACGTGCCGTACGCGGATTTCCTGCCCACCCACGTGGGATCGTGGGCGCTGTCATGGCAAGCCGAGGAGAACACAAACGCCGACTTTCTCTACGGCACGTCCATATGGAAGGTAGGTGACAGACATCCGCACACAGACAGACAGACCAGCCCTGAAGGCGTGTGACCATGATGTATGCACGAGTGTGGGTGTCTGCTCCGTGTTCAGGGTCTGAGTGATGTGGTCACTGGCGGTGGTGGTGCTGCCATGTTGAGTAAGAATGGGAGCGATGACTTCGCCGCCACCGGCGAGTACGACGCCATCGTTGCCGTCATTGGCGAGGAGCGGTACGCCGAGGCGGCGGGAGACCTCAAGGAGAACAGCCTCCTGCATCACGCGAGGTAATCAGACCACGCACACATCCTGATGATCCCATCCATCGTACGTCGTTTGTTCAGGTATCCCGCCGACTTGGATATCCTTGACAAGATCACAGCCAAGAAGAGCCCCGACACCCCAATCGTCTGCCTGCTGGTCTCCGGCCGCCCTGTCTATGTCAACCAGCACCTCAACCGCTGCGATGCCTTCGTGGCGGCCTGGCTGCCGGGTGTGGCGGCGGGGCTGGGTGTGGGCGACGTGCTCTTCGAGGGCGGGTATGACTTTCACGGTCGGCTGGCGCACTCATGGCCCGCCTCGCCATGCCAGGCGACCGTCAATGTGGGAGACGGCCAGGAGGCGCTCTTCCCCTTTAGCTATGGGTTGAGGATGAACCAGGGGGAGACAGACGAAGTCGGGTATCTTAGGGAGCTGTCCGATACGCGCTGCACCTAACCATAGATGCATGCATGTGCCTGAGATTAGCGGGAGGGACTTGCTTTGGGGGGATTGGTTTTGTCTCAGCTGCCTACCTTGACGCTCTCTGCGGACACTCGATGGATGATGCATGTACGCGTGATGTTCTGCTCGGCAATACACCCATGTGTGTGGGTCGATCTGTTTTTCTATTTATGGAGCCTTCAAAGGCAGGGCCATGAATGGATGAAACAGCAGAGACGGACCACAGGCAGGCTGTGTGTGCACCGTACGCCATGTGCAGAGACATGCCCATGTAGGGGATGCGGCAGGGACAGGACTGATGGCGCTGGATTGCTTGCATCATATGGCTGTATGTTCCTAAGCCCGTGTGATCATGGACTTGATGGATGAGAAGTGTCTCAGGTACTTTGTCCCTGTTGTACACATATGTGCGTGCATGTCTGCTTGAGGGCGTCGTGGACAGTTTCTCAACGTGCATGTCTGCGACCTCCACAATCTTTGTTTGTATGCGGTCTGGTGGCAGCATCCCGGCCGTCTTTACAGTCCATCTGAATCAATCATTAGGGGCCCCCACTTGCCCGGGCGGCCACACGGACTCTCTCCCTCCATTGTCCACTCCCCCCCCAGTCCATTTGCCACCGCAATCGACTCAAACGAGTGGGTGCGATGCAGCGCATGACAAATTGGCGCATGATGGAGGCGGTGCTCCCGTGGAGCAAACAACGGAAGGCCAAGTTACGATATTTGGGGCGTGTTGCAAGGCCGCAGGAGGGGGAAGATGAGGAGAAAGACAAAGTAAGCGTCGCCAGCTCTAGTCGAACAACGACGAAAAATGTGTGGTGTGACATCAGGATGGGACTGCCAAGGCCACTTCCCCACTTTGCCGGCTTACGTGTGGGCTTTGGAGGAGGCTTCCTGGGCACGTGTGCCTGGCCGTTCTGCGAGGCGGCGACTACTGCAGATGGTACATCTGCAACCCTGGAGAGAGACGGCGGGCCTAGTCTGTGCTTCTTGCGGCTGTTGGTCCATTCTGCCTCGAATCTCCCTGCTGCTGACACATTGGGGCGTTCTGATCCCTACGTGGTGGTACACTTTCAGCAGAAGGAGCACAAGACCGAGGTGGTCCGCAACAGCCTCAATCCGGTGTGGGAGGACGTGTAAGTTCTCTCCTTCTGCGCACCGCCAACAGAGCAAGGCCCACCTGTGTATCCTCCTTGCTTGTCTGTCGACACAGGTGGGAGGTCCCGGTGCCACCAGGGCCGATAGAGGTGCGGCTGGCCGTGTACGATAAGGACACGTTATCGGCAGATGATCTCCTGGGGAGGGCGACACTGAAGCTGGCAGGGCCATGCAACGTCACGAGGCATGAAAACGCTCTCTATGACACTGGCGTCAAATCACGATGCAATTGTCGCCATGTCCTGTGATCGCCAGGAAGATACTGCCTTTGGAGAGACACGGCGGCTGGTGGCCCGATCGCAGCAAAAGTAACGCTGCCAGTCAGCTGACTGTGGTCTACCAAGTGGTGAAATCGCTTGAGGACCAACCGGACCTGGTCGCTCTCGCCCAGAGGGCACGCGAGGCCGACGATGTGCCACTGAAAATCTACAATGTCAACGTCACTGTACATCAGGTAAACACGATCGCGCGAAGCCGGTCATGACATCCACTGTGCACAATCCTATGCAGCTGACCCTTATGAGCATGGGTAGAGACATGACGGCCATGGTGAAGCTGAGGCTGGACGGCCAGACACAGGTGTCGCCAGCTGGTGAACCATCGAAAGACGACCATTGCACCATCATGCTTGGCCATCGAGTACAAGGGTGGAACCCCGAGCCATTCGTGCTGCCGGATAAGACAACCGAGAACCTCATGGCGCTAAGGTGAGGAGACCAAATTCTGCGTGTCCCCTAATGATTTGATCTGACAACAATCCCTGCAGCCTAAAAGTGGAGGCATTTCTCTACCAGGCCGAGAAGAAGGTGAGATACGAGGCAGATGTCACTACGTGTACGCTGCTTATGCATCAAATGCGGCAGCTCGTGGCCCAAAAGGCTGTGCTGGAGACCGAAAGCGGCCCGGCAAGTGAGAAGAAGACCAAATTACAAGGGAGAGACAGGAGAGATCCGGCCACAGAAAAGGTGCGATAAGACAGTAGCCATTAGCCGGTTGCCTCTGATCACTAGATTGTTGTCCCCCAACCTCGCCTCAGACACCACAAAAGGTTGGCGAGTGGGAGGAGTCGGTTGATGAGTTCTACGAGCACGTCAAAGGGACCGGACATCCATGGATGGCAAAAGCCCAGCTTCGCGATACACACAACGGACAACTTGCAGGAGAAGTGAGCGTGTCGACATGTGTGCAGCGAGGCACGCAATCCGTCATTGTACGTCTCTCTGCAGGTCGTCCTTCAGGTGGACATGTGGTGCCCTCCCGACGAAAAGGTCCACTGGCCAGAGGAAATGACCTCGGAAGCTCTGACCAAGATGAGGAAGGCAAGAGGCTTCCGCGATGCATCAGACAAGGGTGCTTTGGTCGACTACTACTTGTAAGCCCAGGTCTCACAGCACCCACCCTCCTCTCTTCATCACCCGAACCCCTAGAAGGCTGGACACGACTGCGGCCTGGTATCCTGCGGCGTCGTAGGTACGCCTTTGCTGATTTCCTGCCCGTCCTTGACGAGCACCCATTGGCCGCAGGCGGCTTGACACTCCCGAAACACACAGCCTGTGACCCTTTCCTCCGACTGACGGTGTCTGGTCGGGGGGCCACACAGCGATATACCTCGCCAACGATCACCACCAGGCAGCGTGAGGTGCTTTTCGAGACAATGGGCTTCAAAATGCCTGCGAATCCGTGAGTGAAGCCAGCTAACTGACAAACGGAATGGTTGGTGTATGTGTGGCATGCAGGAGACGTCACCGTGTTCTGCTCGAAGTCTTTGACGACGACTCGGTGTTCATACACATGGAGGAGCTCGCAGGACAAGTAAATGTGCAAACATGAGATCCTTGAAGGATTCGCCATCGATTACTTGGAGGCCTAAGTATGACTAGTATTGTTTGCACGCAGGTAAAGTTGTACCCACTGCCGATGGGCCGACGCGTTTGGTATCACATGTACGGTGGGGCCTTGCGGGCACCACGAGATGATCAGGCCCTTGCGATGATCAAAGTATGAAAGACAAACCAGAAGGCTCTTAATCTCTGTTTGGGGCTCCGTCACTGGCTCCACGTGTGTATCTATTTTTGTATAGGGGGCCTTGGATCCTCCCAGCACCTACCGTGGATCAATTTGCGTCTCGATAGGTGTCATATTGTCATACGCAAAACACGGGTACGTTGACAAACTCAGTCCACATGCGTATGTGTGTAGAGAACAAGAGGATCGCAGACAAACAAAAATGGCCGCCGGTCGTGAGGAAGGCGGCACATCAGAAAGAACTGACAATGAAGCTTTTCAGAGGATTGTACCTCTTCAGCCTCAAGTGAGGAGGATGCTGAAAGGGGCAACTGAGAGACATAGTTTGCTCCGTATGAACTGAGCATGTATGTGAATGTGTGTGTCAGGAAAAAAGAAGTCATTGTGACGATTCAAGTTGCTGGCTGCTCGCTTCATCCCAAGTCCAATGACGCCAAGGACAAGCAGACAACAACGATTGCAACCCAAACGCAGCTACAAAGTCGACAGGCCAAACAAAAGGCTTCGGATAGGAGTGTGGTTTCTGATGAAGAACTGAAAATACTGCCGGAAGGCGACTTAACTCTCCTATCATTCCCAAGGCATGTCAATGAGAAGGTTCGACACACACGCTAGCAGAGCATGCGTCTACAAACCGTCTCTCTCTGCAGGGTGTGTTGCAGTTTTATCACAATAAGGAGCCCCGGCAAGAGACAAACGGGTCGAGTCTCTTCTGCAGACCATGCAACTTTCAGGTAGGCAGCTACTGAGTCCGACTGGCTATCAGTCGCGCACGCGAATGCAGGACAAGGGTGACTTGCGAGACAGCGCTGAAGGCACCACCCCTACACTCGATGTCCTCCCAAACATCGATTACGCATATGTGTACATCCGCGTAAGTCATGGATGTAAGCATCATGCGATCGGGCATGCATTGACGCCTCTGTCTTTATTCCGTCTCGTACATGAAAGGAGCGCCGGGGTACAAGTCACCGACACATTTTCGGGAGGTGAGTGAGCAGGAAGAGAAGCTGCTGTGCCTAATTGGTGGATGACTCCTTGTGCATCTCTTACTCCATACAGACTGAAGCTCCTTAACGCGCCCAAACACGCGAAAGACGACCCACCAGGGCTAGTGGAAGGCAGAGAGCAGTCACAGCCGGCAGAGAAAGAGACTTGGATCCAGGTACATTGAGAAACCACTGGCGCAGCCTGCCCTGAATCTGCTTTCCTAGCTCACATGTCTTGCGTCCTCTTATACTGCATGCAGCTTCGTTACGATCAAGTACGGAGCGGTATATATCAGCAGTGTCTCGCAGCATTATGTATCTGCATGTATATGATCCAGTCTGTTGCAGCCCTCCGGAAGGCGTTCTTTTCCTCAGCCTTCGCTGGCTGTCTTCTTGGGCATGCCGAGCTGAAAGTGATGCACACACTGGTGCTCCAAATACAGTGAAGGGAGAGATACGAGTCCACATAGCAGGGAAGCCCGCTCCAAGAAACGGTCAAGATGATGTGGAGTCCGGTGTACCTCTCCCTTCGCCCCCGCCCCCCATGCCACAGTTGGACGCCAAGCAAGTCACGCCTAAAGGCGATGGCTGCTGTGGATGTAAGCCGCGAGACAAGGAACAAAACGAAGCAGATGTTGATGCTGCTGGTGGCGACAAAGCAGAAAAAGCGGACAGTTCTCCTCCAAATATGTATCTGCACGTGGACTTGCTGCAAGGAAGGAATCTTCCGGCACAGGACGAGGATGGCAATGTCGACCCCCTCTGGGAGATCTGGGTGGACGACAAAGTAAGGGTCTGTTCAATAATTCAGTTGATTGTCTCATGTATCGACATTTTGTCAGCGTGTGGAATCCCAAGACCCGTCGAAGAATCCCCCTGTCAGGACTCGCAACCCATCATGGTTGCACAGAGTGGTCGTTCCTTTCTCGCTTGATCCGCTTACACGGCCTCATTTCCCGCCTGTGTTGCTGCGCTTTTCTGATTGGGACAACGGAGTATACAGCTTGTCACAGTGTAAATGAAGGGCGTGTGTTGCTGACATGTTTTGTCTGTCTGCAGACATCTGAGAAAATGGGGCAGTTTATTGAGTGGAACCCGATCGACCTCGACAAAACAAAGAAGGTCTGTTTGCCTATACACATGCTGGCTCGGCTTCTGTTGCACCCCATTACTCTGTCGGTCCTCCTGTCTCTGCGTGCGTTTGGTTGCTCACTGCCCTGCACACAGCCTTTGGATTTGAATGAAGCGCATGAGCCCAAGTGGTATGACCTGGCCAGCGGAGACTCAATCCGATACGAAGACTTCGAGAAATTGGACTTGTACGCACACTGCCTAATGAAGCCAGAGTGGATGTGTACGGTGACGATGCGTTCTTCTCTTCATGCGTTCTTGTCTTCGCGTCAGCAAAAGTCAGCGGAGCAGGTGGCAGCACAACGCGAAAATGCTGGCGTGCATTGGCTTCTCAAGGTATGGTCTCCGCAGATGTAAGGGAGGACCATTTGATGATTGCATTGCTCTTCTCTTTCACCCAGCGAATGTCCAGAATCCATCAAGACGACAACGCCTGAGAAATATGATATCACAAAACAGCTGACAGGTGCGATGTCAAAAGAAGACGACTAAAGTGAATCATTGCATCTGTCGCGGGCCTCCAGGCCAAGAAGAGGTGCTGCAGCTGTCCATGGACATCCTTGGTCTACGCGGCCTGGCGCCGCGAGTATTTGGCTATGAATTGACGATGGAACCGCCTTCAGGCACGCGATTGAAGACGGATTCAGACAGACGCTTACCTCTGGAGGTAATGAATCATACACTCAATCAATTGAGGGTGTCTAAGCCGGCACTACACTGAACAGGTGCCCAACGACAACTCGCCTGCCCGCAATGTGAGACATCCTCGGCATGACACGAAACACGGAATGGACACCGTCGGCATTCGAGTGTCGTCACCACCATTTCACGCGCCTATGCTGAAGTATCTGCAGGTGAGCAAGCTCCAACCATGCGTTTTCTTGCCTGCATGCCTTAATACACGAACTCCTTCTGCCGTGTGGTGTGTGATTTGCAGTTTGACAAACGGGGAACCCCAAGCCGACTACTGCCAGACGTCAAGTTTAGGCTGATTGGCCTTGGGCCATTCAAATATGAGGCCTCGCTGTCGGTGCCCCTGCACGATTATCACTTGCTGGACGACGAAGCTCACGACACGAATGAGACAAGAGCTTTGGCATCGAATACAAACGACTGGGGCCTCAGTCGACTGCCCGTAGTGTGTGAGCGAAAGATCGACGTCACCGTAGATGTCTATGCAGGTAATATAAGAAGACTCAATGCCCATCCCTCAGCTCGTGTGATGCCATGTAGAAAAATCTGGGGGGCTGTGGTATGCCCCGGATGTCACTGTTGGACGATTATTGTTCTCACACGAGCTCTTCAGCATCAAATCGCAAGTATTTCCATACAAGATGCAGGTGGAGCAACAAGCCCAGGAGGAGGAGAATGAGGTTTGTCAAACTTGTCTACAGGACGATGAGAGATAGTGGTGCCTTTTGTGTGCATTTAGTGGCAATCGTTCAACGCCGACAACCAATTTCAGGATGGAAACGAGCCTTTTCAGAATCCAATCCTTGTCATTAAGGACCTGGAGAAGAAAGGGTGGGACCACAAAGCGTATCTTGAGATGAGGAGGATGGAGACGCCGAGGAGGATCAGCACAGCCCGCCAAGGCTGAACCCCCTGACGACAACTCGGACGTGAACTTGCTGACCTTCATCCGGCCAGTTGGCCACGTGATCAAGCCACAAGAAGAGCAGGCAGGTCGCACATTCTGGCACGGCTGAGAATGTGGTTTGACGGGAAGCTGTCAATGAACGTCGTGGAGATCAAGACGGTCAAAGGCTTCACCGGTACCCCATCGTCTCACACAGGCTGAACACTCTTTTCATTGTTCAACCTCACCGACTCTACAGGTAGCGTGGTCTGGAGCAGCAGTAAATGCCAACCTCCTGCTCAGACGGCCGAGTCTAGGAGCGCAGGAGAGCTTTTGATGGTCATCAAGGATGACGATGGCACCTGTTATCGTGTCGACGTCCCCAGCTCTGATCTTCGCTTCCCGCGCGAATCTGGCTTCTGGGTCTACGAGACAGCCTATCACGAGTTCGATGAAGTTACGCGCAGGTGCGACAATTTGATGATAAAGAGATGTGTGTGCGTGGGATGAGTTTGATCTGTTTGTGCAGGATCGAATGCGAAGAAATCGAATGCAAAATTACGGAGTTGAGGTCTTCTAAAATTAAGGAGTTGAAGGCTTCTGCTGAGAAAAAGGCCAAGAAGACCATTAAGAAGGTACGCAGGTTGGCTGGTTGGACGAATGCATGTTCAGCTTAGCATTATCATGATGCAGGAGATACGCGACTTGGAGAAACGCCTGAAGGAAATCAAACTGCGAGTGGGTGATGCTGAGACACATACACTCGAAATTGGCATGATCCACGTGCACCACGTGCACTGCTACGTGCTTGAAGGGTGACAGACCAAGCGGGAAGACGGACTTGGGGATAGAGACAGTTCTGCATTATGGCATTGAGCGGAAGCTGCTGGGCTATCAATATGCGTTGCCGGTGAAGAAAGGTGACTTTGTGCTCCGGCTGCAGAAGCGACGGCTCATACTTGCGGATAGGTGAGTAGGGCTGCCTGTCGCTTGTCTGTGTCCTTCAAGCCTCCCACATGGGTGACTGCAGGCTTCAGACGAATGACTACTTCAACGCGATGAAGCTGCAGCAGATTTGCAATGTGTCAGAGCCAATCGTCACGGGAGAAATGATGAAAGAAGTGGCAAGACTCAAAGTGAGCCGTAGATGGATTGAGATTGCAATCAATCGGCAATCCATGCATGTCTGGTGCCATGCAGGGCCGCGTGATGCTTACGCAAGTCGCGGACGCTATTCCTGACACCGAAGAGGACAAGAGAGACGCCACAGCGTGGAAGGAGGAGCGAGTGCGAGTCCATCTCTACGTGTTGACGGGCCGTAATCTGACCAATATCGACACGTTCGGCAAATCGGACCCTTTCCTTGAGGTATATCTTCTGTCAGTCAGTCACAGATGGACAAACCAATCATGGAGCAGGTTTCGTTTTGCCGATTCCATTTGCAGGTGTCAATGGCAGGCAAGAAGGTGGTGTCGAGCAAGGTCTTCAACGAGTAAGGATGGACAAACGGCCTGCAAATGAGTTCTTTTCATGGTGCTCATACAGAAACTTGAATCCCGACTTCTACGAGCACATAGAAATGACCGCCACCATACCAGGAGATGCAATGCTGACCATTGCAGTCCGTATCACGACACGGGAAGATAAGATGAGACAGGAGGCCTTCCGATGAATGTTTGGGTATATGTACGCAGGTCATCGACAAAGGCGCTTTGATCAATCGACTGATCGGAAAGACATCGATCGATCTCGAAGACAGATGGATGGCACTCAGATATTGCAAGCCGACAGACGAAGAGATTAAAAAGTAGCCAGCACGCACCTCGATCGACTTCTGACATGTCTGTGTCGCCTTGTCTCGCAGTCCGATCAAGGAGCAACCCACTGAGTCTGCCGTCGATGGCAAGCGTGACGATGAACTGCCGCCTTTCCGTATCAGCTCACCCCTGGAGATCATGCCGCTGCACGTGGATGAAAGCGGATCGGGTTTGGCAACTGGTACATTGAGATATTTCATCGATATGGTACTTCGAGAAGAAAGGCGCGTGTCATGGCCGGTCACGTCATTTCATGTGCACCTTGTCAGGTGGAAGAGTCAGAAGACTACAGGGAAATCGATCTCAAAGAGCTGTACAGCCCCACTGAGTTTGAGTTACGAGTCATCGTCTGGAAGGTGACGGACATTGACGTCTTCCAAGATTGCGGTCGGTCAGCAGGACGTACTGCGCATGGATACACTCTTTGAAGCTTTGCATGTCTTGGCTTTCATTCATAAGGGCAACGCAACGACGTGATGATCGAGATCACCTTGCATGTACGCGCGTTCGAGGACCAGCAGGCGGATCCAATCACACTCAAGACCGACGTGCACAAGTTCGCACACGATACGGCAGGCTTCAACTGGCGAATGCTGTTCCCAGTCAAGCTCCCCGCAGGTACATGGCAAACGCCGATTTGTCAACCCACACAAAGACTCACACAGACACACACGCGCAGAGACTAATTCTATTTCTTTGCAGCCGCCGTCGAGATGAAGGCAAGCTGTAGTGGACATCAATGCATCCACCAAATCTGCCTTCTTTGCCGCAGGTCCGTATGATCGACTGTGATACAATAGGTCCGCACGATGTCATCTACGAGGAAGAAGTCGTGCCAATTGACGGCCTATGCAGGTAAGCACTCAGGAGATCACTGCAGCTAGTTAACAGGCAGTACACGTCTCATTCAGGTATTCGCTGGATCGCCAGCCAAGAGAGACGCCAGCCAAGAGTGATAACTCTGGTTGCTGCCCATATATATGTCGGGACGTGCTGGGCTGCTGTGGTGGTGGTGAGGAGATCGTGGACGGAATGCGAAGACCGAGGGGACTTTGCCCCGGCAGAAGGCGCAACATGTCCGCATTCATCAACGCCCGACAAAACACATACAAGCACGACAAACGATCCTTCTTGCGCTTGCAGTTTCATCAAGCCCGCCAAGCTTCACCTCTCGCTGCAAATGGTGCCCATCGATCAGGCCAGAGAGAATCCAGTCGGCCAGGGCCGCAAGGAGCCCAACGGTCGGCCGACAAATAGCTGACTGAGCACACATAGTGTGTCATAACGAACTGTGGTTGCATGTGTGTGCAGTATCCCCCTTCCTACCAGAGCCCCAGGGGCGCGTCCAATGGATCATGTGCATCCAGGTGATGGAGACACCTATGACATGATGCACACGCTCTCCGTGCGTTTGTTTGTTAGCGCCCCTGCAAGTTCCTGGAGATCCTTATAGGCAGGAGATGCTGCCGGCGCCTGCAGTGTTCGACATGCACACTCCTCTGCGTGCTGCTACTTGCACTTCTGCTGTTTGTGGTGGCACAATTTGCGCTAGCGTCCCAGCTGCTTAGATGGGGTTGATGTGCCTGTGATCTGGTCACACTCTATTTTCTCTTTGGGCCGTCAGCGTGTGGCATGTGCCGACGATACTGAGATAGGAGCCTGTGTGACTCGGACGATTGGTCAGTGTGTGTGGTCTGTGTCGACGTACTCAGTCTACTGTCCGTGTGCGGGGAGACACGTGTGCGTCAGGACAAAAACGAAAAGACTCGGGAGCTTGAGACATCATCCAACGTGTTGGAGTGAAATCATCCGGACGATCGATCGGTCTCACAACGAATGCGCAAACGATGTCTGTCTGCATGGCAGTGTCTGCTAGCTGTGTGCCTCTGTACTAGGCTGTCGTCCACAATGCTCTTCCCTTTCCTTCCCCCTCCTCATCGAGCCCCCTGCCGGGAGCTGATAGCTGATCCTGCATCATGGTTGCTCGGGACGCTTGGCGCCTCAATGTGCCTCGTCGGAAGCTCCTGACACGGGCTGTAGAAGTTTACCCTGTCCCCGCCTCCTGTAAACGTTTGGATCTGCATCCCAAATGGGACCATGATGAGGCTAAGTAGGTGCGCCGTCAGAGGGTTTCCTTTGCCGAGATGCTTCCACAACGTGCTCACTCTGGCGCTAGCAGGTAAAAAAATCCATGGATGCTGGATGTCCCCTCTGGATTGCCCTCTTCCAGTCATCAGCTGGCTGCCGGTCAGCCTTGCTGCATCTCTCCGGACACATCGAATCGACGATACGGTATCTACACAAACGCCTTATGCGTATATCGTGGAGCCGTGTGTCCCATCTGTGGTGCCAGCGTGGGTCCAAGCCTCTCAGCGCACTTCAGCTTGTCGCGGCTGGGTACGGGCCGGCGAGCTGTGTGAAGGTGTCGCGGTCCAAGAGTGGCTCGTGCGTTATCGCAACACAGTGTGACGACGCTATCGACACATCAGACGTCGAATTTGCATTCATATGGTAAGACAAAGAACGCAAAGAAGGTGGCGTCAAATCAGCCACGACACCTTGCTATTTCTGTGATGTCACAAGCGTCCGTCTCGCCTCGCCGTCCGGCCACAAGGCACAGCTGCATTCGTACGGCGTGGGCACATCCGACGCAGAGGAAGATTTTGACAGTGGCGTACGCTGCGACGAGTGCTTGCCGCCATTGGCATTTGAAGACAGACTTAGAGGTATAGCCACTGGTGTGTGGATGCACACACAATACATGTCCGTCTATCTCGTATTCCTGTCCATGTATTTCTCTTACGTGTGTAGAGGATGTCCGCACGGGCCGCTCCGCGGCAGATCGGTATGTTGCAGCTCCCCACAGCCAAGTTCAGCGGCGCAGACAGACGCTCCAGCAGCCAAATGCCACTACAGCAGCAGCCCCGGACTCGACAAGCGCTAAGACGACAAATGCGCCATCAGACACTGGGAAGGAGACGACGTTTTTGCCCACCCCGACCGTCTCGCCCACGACAGCCAAGCCATCACCTGTGCCGGCGGCCCCCACCACTCCAGCACCGCTGTCGCTCCCGCCAGAGCTGCTTAATATGACATCCACCGAACGCGTCAAGGTGCTGCGGACACTCATCCACGACAGAATGAAGGAGGTCAGGTACCTGGCACAGCAAGGAGAAGGCAAAAGAAGACAAAGCAGATGGCTCTGCATGGGTGGATGTGTGACCTCAGGCTTCTCGTGCGAGTGAGGTGCGACCACTCCCGCGCCGAAGAAGGCATATTATGGCCCTGGCGACTGCGTGGCGACCTGGAGGAACAGTCTCGGCACGTGTATGATCGAAACCAACTGCAGTGAGGAGGTCAAACAAACACGTATGCACGACAGCATAAGGACTCCATGTGTGTCCTGTTGCCAGGATCTCCTGAACTACGATCTGGGGCTGACGTGCGTCGATGAAAATGGACAGCCGACGAGGCACATGTTCGGCAAGGCAAGCGGCGGAGAAGGCTCTCGCCCCATCTATGTGTGAATGCGTCGGTTGGTTGTTTCCTCAGGAATCGTTCGCCCCTCAGGAGTTGTTCGATTCCCTTATCGAGTGCGAGAGCTGCCAGGGGCTGCCCGATAATAACAGCACCGTCGTGTACACACAGCTCACGAAAAACACCCTTGCACATACGCAGATATCTGTGTTCTTCGCTGCTGTCCCTCGCTTCAGCGTGTCCAAGGAGGTGGATGAGTTGCGGTCGATGATGAGCCGCGTGATATCGGAACAGCAGAAGGTCGAGCAGGAAGTGGAATCGCTTGACGTGGCGGTCTTTGGCACCGTGGCGCCCGAGCTCAACCACACAAGCGGTGACATGGCGGCCGGTCAGAATAACTTGACACACATCGACCTCACTCTGTCGCCCGATCTTCTCTACCCCTCGGCCCCACCAGCTGCCATGCCGTCACATCCGCCACCATCCCCTCAGCATCCCTCTGTCGTACCGACAACCACTCCCCGGCCCCTCTTGTCGTCCAGCCCTCCCCTCCCTTCCCTCTCAGAACACACAGAAGATAGCAACACGACCACCGCGGGGCCGCCGCCGGATGGCGTGGATGTGACGGCCAATGCAGAGGCGGATGCGGATGTCACCACATCTGCTCCGCTGGACCTGACCTCATCGACCGTCTTGATAACAAACAAGGTGAGCCAAGAAGGAAAGTGAATACCAGATGCTCATCCGTGTGGGTGCTGTGTTGCTGTGTCAGGCAAGCAAAAAAGGACAGCGTGCCAATCTCACCACATCAAGGAGGAACAAGTTGCCTCATGGAGGCAGCAACAAGAGCAGGCGGGAGGCGGATCAGTCGGAACCGACAGATGATGAGGAAACGGACGACGATCAAGAAGGTGGGGCGGATGATGGCGACTATGATAGCCAGCAATCCGGTTACGACGACTGGAGTGATGACACTGACGACACAGTCGATGAAGACCAAGACCAGTAGACACAGGGCCGTCCTTCAAGTAAATATCAATCAGCGCCCCAGTGTCTCTACAGTTTGTGCGACGCTGCATATCAGATCGCAGTGGCCATACCTCTGTGTCTCTTTGGATGAAGGCACACATACGCGTGTTGGTAGTGGATAGGGATCAGTGCTGCTGCATGCTTCTGTCAGTGCTCGGATGGCGTGTTCCGCCAGGACACGCGTTTGCATGCACATCACTCGAGTCCTTTTCCCCTTTTCTGGGGCATAAGTGCGGCTGTGTGTGCAATCAACGCGTACGTATCAAGAACCGATGAATGCGATCCATCGTGATTTGCGAGATCTCAAGCTCGCAACGGCAGGGAGGCGACTGCTTGTGGAGGAGGAGAAACCGCTCTCAGGGTGGAGGAGAAGGGGAGAGGACTTAGATCTAATGACAACGCGGCATCTTCGTCCGCCTCCTGTGCCGCTTCTCAGCTTTCAACGCACCATCAGGACTTTCCTCCTTCTTGTCTTTCATCTGTGCGCCAACGCGGCCTCATGGAGATCCTCCCTCTCGGCTATCAAGAGGTCGGCCGTCCCCGCATTCTCCCCCCCATCCCGCTCATTGCTCTGTTGCTCGTCCCGACATTTTGGCGGACGGCCGCACTCTATCTACGGTTCTGTAGCAGATGTGGGCAGCGAAACGAAGCCTGAGGCCCTCCAGGCCACGGACACCGACACCACTGCCACCGGGACAGGCGGCAACGTTCTCTTCACACCCACAGCTGGCGACGCTTCAGCCATCGTCACTGCGGTGCCTCCCGATGCGTATTTGGTGACCGACGAGCTAACGCACCATCCAGCCGCCACTCTCCTGAACGTGCCCTCTTCTGATGCTGTTGATGCTTCGGCGCCTCCTGTCGTGCCGTCATTCGGTGAACTGTTGCTGTTTATGCTCAACGTCATGCTCATCTGGATACAGGACCCGTTAATGAGCCTCATCGATACAGGTGCGTGCGCTGCAGACAGACAGACAGACAGACCTTCACACCCGCCTGGCTTCCCACCAACCAACGTGTCCTTGCCTTGTGTTTGGTATGTCTGTCTGTCTGCAGCTGCTGTTGGTCGTGTGGATGCGGTGCAGCTGGCTGCTTTAGGTCCCGCAACGCAGGTGGTGGACTCCTCCGTCTACCTCTTTGGCTTCCTGGGCATCGCGACCACCAACCTATATGCCACAACATTCGCGCAGCAGCAGTACGGGAGAGCGCGTCGAGTCATATCGACCAGCCTGTGGATATCATCTGTGGTCGGCGTGGCTCTCATGACGGCACTGCTGGCCTTCACGTCGCCCATCCTCTCCTCGTTTACCAGCGCCAACGCCGCCGCCGTGCTGCCTGCCGCACAGACATACGTCCGGATCCGGGCCTTGAGCGTGCCCTTCGCACTCTTGATGATGTGCAGCAAGGGAGCGCTCTTGGCACTCAAGGATACACGGACGCCATTCCTGGCCACACTGGCCTCCTCGGTGACCAACCTGATCGGCGATTTTGTCGGCGTCTTCGTGCTAAAGCGGGGCATCGCGGGGGCTGCATGGGCCACTGCGGTGGCCCAGGGACTTGCCAGCATCATCCTGGCGTCACAGCTGCTCAAGCGGACACTCATGCTGGGCAACGAGGGGGCGACGGGCACATCTGATGACGAGGAGAGGAGGCAGCGATGGGCGGCTTTCACCAGACCGCCGAACGTGGCGGAAATGCGGCAGTTCCTTGCCTTCTTTGGGCCGTGCTTTCTGCAGTTCGCCGGCAAGGTGTCCTTCTATGGGTTCATGACCCACGTGGCCTCGGTGTTTGGGGCGATCTCCCTTGCCGCTCATCAGGCAAGACAGCCAGTACATGCACACGACCAGCCTCTGAGGCGGGCCAGAATTTGTGTCCGCTGCGTGTGTGTTCAGGTGACGCTGAACTTGTACCAGTGTTTCTGCCCGCCCTGTGACGCCCTCAGCCAAACCGCACAAGCCTACCTTCCCAAGTACCTCTACACGAGGACGGCCGAGGACGATACTGATGAGCCACAGGACGTCAGTGCGTCATCGGTGGCCCTGTCAACACCCATTCAAACACGGCTGCTCCAACTCGGCGCAGTGTCTGGGGTACTGGTGGCAGTTGGCAGCTCACTCGTGTCCTACGTCGGGGCGCCGTTCTTCACGAATCAGGCGGGAAATGCTGCGGTGGCCGCTGAGCTCATCAGCACAATCAGGCACCTATCGCCCTGGCTGGGTGAGAGACCAACGGACAGACACACAGCGTGCAGGCAGATGGATGGATGGATGAGCGGATGACGCCCTGAGGCAACGTGTGTAGCAACACATGGCCTGTGTGCGTATGTGCGTACGTCAGGTCTGTCACTGCTGCTTCTGCCGCTGGTTGGCGCGGGAGAGGGGATTCTGCTGGCGATGCGGCAGCTGGCCTTCATTGCATCGGTCTACACCTTCCAGCTGTTCGCCCCCAACAGCTATCTATATCTCATGAAGCGTCTCCAGCTGAGCCAGGTGGCGAGCGGCATAGCGTCGCTGGGGCTGAATGCACCCGTGACTGTCGCCACCGTGTGGAGGGGGCTGTGCCTGTACCAGGTCACACGCCTGGCCTTCTTCCTGGTGCGGTTGTACAGAAAGAACATGGCGGCCAGGAAAGATGTCACCAGCTAGTGGAGCAAGTGGCGGTGATTGGCGCTCGGTTTGAGAGTGTTGCGGGAGAGGGGAGGGGTG